TTGAACTATTGTCGTGTTATAGTACAAAAAACATATTGAACGCAGTGGATGCTCTAGATGTACCTGCAAAAATGTGACAATGAGAATATTTACCTCACCATTGGATTATAATACGAAAATGTTTACATTTAAACACAATACAAACTAGAGCAATCACTCCATAGAGATTAAAGCTCCACCCTGTGCCTGAATACCAACAATACGCAGGTCGTGTATGATGAGCAAAACTGCAGCATACCCTCAAAGAAATAATGGAATCACCTATCATATTTAGGCACATTATTTTCTTGAGTGCTGCAGCATACCCTCAAGAAAATAATGGAATCACCCATAGTATTCAGGCACATTGTTTTCTTGAGTGCTGCCTGAATACGAGGGGAAACTCCAAGGGAATCACGCGTCGTATTCAGGCACATTGTTTTTTTGAGTGCTACCTGAATACCGGGGCAAACTCCATGATTTTCTTTTACGTTCGACTGGTAAAAAAAATCAAATACTGTACAGTGCACCCTCCTATTCGAGAACGCTCTAATTTCAAGATTCCTCTGATTCGAGACCACTTTTTCAAAGAACCAAATAACAATCGTCAATTTTCTTTTCACACAAAGCTAACCCTCTAATTGGAAACAGAACCCCGAGACCAAATTTTCAGGGCACAAAGTGGTCTCGAATTGGAGGGCGAACTGTATAAAAGCGATAGCCAATTATGTTGTAATATGTTTAGAATGATTAACGTGACTTACACCAATATCATCACACTGCCAGTGGTTTGTAAAGGGTAAGTTGTAGCCCACGGTGTCAAATCCATGGTGAATAGGAAGATGACGGCCATCATCATTGTGAAACTCATTTATCCCTAAAAAGGAAAACGACATTATTTACTTTTTTTTTAATAAGGTGAAACTTTTTTTATACCATGTTTAGTGAACCCGCCGACCACCAATAATGGTGTTTTCGAATCAAAATAATAAATATAAAATTTTATTTTTGCCCAGTTAGCGCAACTTCTGCCACAACGAATGGAAATTTAAGAAAACATAATAACTTTGTTAATTTATTTTTACTATGCTCTCCACTCCCCAGAAATCTCTAAAAATAAGATATATATTTCTTCCTTAATTATGCAATCTAAAGCATTTATCAATAACATGTCATTACTACACTGTTTACATTCATCAATAAAAGTATATTATATCATTATTTTCTCCTCCACCTAGATGCTTTCACAAAATCATTTTGCTAAATGAGAAAACAAAGTTTAATTTTTCTTTTCCAGCCGTCTGCTGATGATCTTTAAAAGGGACTGAACAAAAAGGAAGGGGAAAGAAAGAGAACTTTCTACTTTTAATGAAATTTTTTAGAACAAAAAAAAATCATACCTAGATGCCATTTACCAACCATTCCAGTTTTATATCCATGCTTTTTCAAGG